CGGCGATGCAGAGACGGAGAGGAAGGCACGGGACCAGCCCAGTTCTGGGAGCTTTGTGAGTGACCCCCAGCCCAGCCCCTACTTACCACACCAGGCTAGGCGCCTTCATCAGCGCTGCCTCCATTTTCTCCGGGGGGGGGGGGGGGGCGGGGGGGGGGGGAGGGCGGAGCCGGCTGGCTCAGATTGGGCAAGCCAGCCATCTTCGCTTGGCGCGGCTCCTCACTGACCTGTGCCACTTGTGTGCCTCAGCACGGGGCCCCCCGGGGCCTGTGGACCGGCCACCAATCCCACTCCACCCGTTCATCTCTGGCGGGGCTGGTGGCATGGGGAGCCCCCGGCCAGCGTCGGGAGGGCAGAGAAGAGGATCCCGGCCAGACTGTCACACCACCACAACTGGGGCTTCGGCCCCAAGTAAACTCCCTGATTCCGGGAAGCAGATACCATCTCTGTGGCCTTCAGTTCGGAAAAACCCCAGACTGATTTCTGGTTGGGAGAGGAGTGACCGGGGTGCCCCCGAGCCCGCTTGATCCTGCCGGAGAACTGACGGCCTGATGGCGCCGAGCTGGCTCACGCCGGGGGGATTCAAAGAGGAACTCTGTGCTGTGGGATCCTCCCCCAGGGGGCTCACGCCCTGGTGTGGGAGATAACTCAACCACACAGGGGGCCGCAATGCCGGGGGGAAGGTGGGAGGCCCAGAGAGGACCTTGAGGAGGCCCGCAGGAACGCCCACAGTGTCGGTGGCGGAGGCCTGAGACCCCTTCGGGGCCGGGCGGGGCTGAGAGATGAGGATTGCAGAAGACATGCCCCAGCCCTGTACTGAGTGCACAGAGAGGGCAGGGGTCCGGGAAAGGAGATGGAGTCTCGGAAAAAAAGACACACCCTCCGGGAGGCCCCATCATATGCACACAGAGAGGAGAAACGCCCGGATAGCGAGGTGGAGACTTGCAGATCTCACACACCCTGTCGGACCGGCAGGACAGGATCCAGCTGCCAGGGACAGAACTCAAGGATCAGGGAGAACTCCCAGAG